AGGCACACAGAGCTTGGGATTTTGGATCACTGAGGTCAGGTCTCTCTGCCCTCTCCTAGGTTTGAATTTGGCTGGGCTTTTTCCAAACGACTTCCATTTTTGTTATCTGTGAAATAAGAATATGAATACCTCCCTGGCCACGGCTATGGGGGAGCTCAAATGAAACAATAATAGATGTGAACAGACTTTATTAACTACAAAACACTGAATCAATGCCAGTGGTATTTACCATTGTGGCTACTGTTACTGTAAAGAACACATTCAGAAGAGTGAGCTGTCTGCTGCAAAAACTCTTAAGATGATTTAAAAAACAAAAATTGAGGCTGTACACGGTGGCTCGTGTCTGTAATCCTAGCAACCTTGGGAGGCCGAGACAGGCAGATTGCCTGAGCTCAGTTCAAGACCAGCCTGGACAACATGGTGAAACCCTGTCTCTACTAAAACACAAAAAATTAGCAGGGCATGGTGGTGTCCACCTGTGGTCCCAGCCGCTCAGGTGGCTGAGGCACAAGAATTGCTTGAACCTGGGAGGCAGAGGTTGCAATGAGCTGAGATTGCACCACTGCACTCCAGCCTGGGTGAGAGAATGAGACTCAGTCTCAAAAAAAAAAAAAAAAAAAATTTAGGTAAAATATACATATATAATTTACCATCTAGTTTAGTGATTGTAAATACATTTATATTCTTTTTTCTCCCCTGCATCTCCCACCTCCTTTCTGGCCTCTGATAACCACCAACCTACTCTCTATCTTCAAGGATGGAGGTTTTTAACCTGGGGTTCGTGGAAATTCATGAATCGGCCTTAGGGAGTTCATCAAATTATAGGTTAAATTATGTGTGGGTGGGTGCATATGTGTGTGTGTGTGTGTGTCAGTGGGGACAGGGGCCATGGCTTTTAACAAAGTTTCAGTGGCATCTGTGAGCCAGGAAAGGTTCAGAACCACCAGCCCCCTACAAAGGCAAAGCCGTATTCCCAGGGTAACCCAGCGTCCAGACCAAATCCCCAATCCAGGACAGGAGTCATGGGTGTGGCTCCAAGTGACGGGATCGAGTCCTGCTCCCAGTCAGTGAATGAAGGGAGTGTCACTTCACAGAAACCTGTTTCTGCCTGGCCACCCCACCCTGGAATCTGAAAACTGGTCTGGTGGCTGGGAGAGGCATTCGCTCAGCAGGTGTGCTCCAGGGAGAAGCAGCTCTGCCCGCTGAACCGGCCTTGCCCTCCGACTTGGGTCAGGTCCACACCCAAGGCAACCAGCCCATGACAGAGGCAATGGGTCTGATTCTCATCTGCAGACCCAGGGGGAGGGGTAACAGAGGCAAAGGCAACGGGAACCTGGCAGGGCCCTAAGGAAGGGTGGCCAGCCACGTCACTGTGGGCCACGCAGGGTAAGCACAGGCTGGGATAATGGCCATCCCCACCCTCATCCCCTACAACTCCCTGGGAGTCTCTCCAGGCTGGCCAGGCTGCAGGCCCATCCCCGAGCCTTGAATCCCCTCTAGCTGGCCACTTGCCTGGCAGCCTTTCAGACACAGCCCATAGTCGGCCTCCTCCAGGAGGGACCCTGGCTCCAGCGACCCCTCTCCTGCTGCTCTCCTCCTCCCTGAATGCTCTAGCTGTAAGGAAGTGGCTGAGACCAGACTTCAGGGTCACCCTGATCTGGGTTTCAGACGCAGCTTCTCTACTCACTGACTGGTGCTTTTGAACATGATGCTTAACTTTCTCAGCCTTGGTCTTAGCTTTCTCAGCGTCTCTGTCCTTAGCTTGTAAACTGCATGAAGATTTAAATGAAAGCGTGTACATAAGGTTCTTTGCATGGAGTGTGGCTGACAGTGAATAGCTCGATCAAAGGTTATTATTATTATTAGCTTGATTTATATCATTCTGTGGTTCTTTTAGCTGTGGTCATTTTGGTAGCCACAATTTAGATTCCTGAAAGACAGGACCTGGATCTACTTTCATTATAGAAGAAGAGACTTGGCTGGGCTTGTGGCTCACACCTGTAATCCCAGCACTTTGAGAGGCTGAGATGGGCAGATCACCTGATGACAGGAGTTCAAGACCAGCCTGGCCAACATAGCAAAACCCTGTCTCTACCAAAAATACAAAAATTAGCCCAGGCAAAGTGACTCACGCCGGTAATCCCAGCACTTTGGGAGGCCAAGGCCAGCGGATCACCTGAGGTTGGGAATTTGAGACCAGCCTGGCCACCATGGTGAAACACTATTCTACTAAAAATACAAAAAATTAGCCAGATGTGATGGCAGAAGCCTGTAATCCCAGCCACTTGGAAGGCCGAGGCAGAAGAATCGCTTGACCCCAGGAGGTGGAAGCTGCAGTGAGCTGAGATTGCACCACTGCACTCCAGCCTGGGTGACAGAGCAAGGCTTCATCTAAAAAAAAATAAAAGAGAATCAATGGGAAGTGTTGGCTGTTTCACTCAAAGACTGGCTATTCATTCATCTGTCCATCCACTCATCCACTCATCCATGTGGTGCGTCAGTTCTGTGCCAGGCACTCTGCTGATAGCTAAGGGCACAGGAGAATAACCACAGCCTGAGCCTTAGGGGAGCTCCCTGCAGAACAGGGGAGACACGCAAACTGGTGAGCCCACATGCTAGACGCTGTGTGGATGGTGGAGACAAAGCGCAGTGGAAACAGCCGGGCAGGAGCACCTTCATGTGTGGGGGAAGCAGGCTTAGGGCCATTTACAGAGGAGATGGCATGTGAATGGAGCATAAGAGAGCAGGAAGAATCTGTCAGCATGGGAAGGGAGAGGGCACAGCATGCTGGCAGAGGGGACAGCTTACTTGAGCAAAGGCACAGAGGCATGATGATTGTGTGGGGCATGTCACAGGAACAGCCAGTCACCCCTTTGGGTCCCTTTAGCAGACTGGAAGGTATGTGTCCTCTTCCGGCTATGGTGAGGGCAGAGCTGGGTGAGCTGTGGGTGGGAGAGAGAGCCCAAGCTGCCTTGGGACACTGGGAGGACAGCCCCACTAAGGAGGAGGGGTTTTGCATTTGTTTTCCTTCTCAAACTCACTTTCCTGAGGGAGGCCACTGCTGGGGACACACAGGGGATAGGGAAGGTGGAGTATTCAGCCCCACCCCATCCCTTTCACTTCCTTCTCCCTGTCCTGCCCCACCGGCTGCTACCCAGTCTACACTCACAGCTTTCTCTCCGCTCTGCTTGGGAAGCAAGCCTCGGGCCCACATGGGGCACTGCCTCTTACAGGCCATTCATCAAGACAGTGGGGGTGACGGCAGGACTGTCTCCCTCCAGGAAGGCTGCAAGAGGCAGAGAGTGCCCTGGGTTCTGAGGTTTGCTAGCCGCAGACCTGCTCTGGGGCTTTGGGTACACTCCCCTCCCCTCTCTGGGCCTCATTGTTTCTACCGGGAGAAGGAGGGCCCTGGACCACATGAGTCTGAGACCCCAGCTTAGGCATTCTATGGGGCAGCTCCCAAGGATTCGAGCATCCTCCCCTCAAAGCTGTTTGTCCTCACCTCTCCTCTCTAAAACTGTTCTCGCTGGGACACCTCCTCTCTCCTCCCTGCAGTCACTGCCACTGGAGATGTGCCCAAGTCTCCATCCCTTGCCACATGCTTTCTGTCTCTCTGTGTTGTTAACAGGACCTGACACATCTTCCTGGAAGCCTCAGAGCCAACACACCTGCAGGCATTTGCTCAATATACGTGCAGGTGAATCTCGAAAGCACCCAAGTGCATCTCAAAAGCACCCTAGGCATTGGGGAGACTGAGACTTCTAATTTAAACCTCCAAGTGCCTCCAGGAGCTTGGAGTTTGGTAGAAAGATGACGCAGATGAAAAACTGACCATGTGTAGGGACAGGAAGCTCTCAGGAGTGGAGAGAGGGTAGAAGAGCTGAATACCGTGGGGCAGATACAGTAAGGAGGAAGGGCACACTAGGACGGAAGAGTGTAGAAAGCAGAGAGTTCCGATGACTGAAATGTTTAAACAATAGTCTGCATGGGTTGGGCACAGTGGCTCACAACTGTAAGTACTTTGGGAGGCTAAGGCGGAAATATCACTTGAGTACAGGAGTTCAAGACCAGCCTGGGCATCTCTACCATCTCTACCAAAAAAAAAAAAAAAAAAAATTAAAAAATTAGCCAGGTGCGGTTGTGCATGCCTGTAGTCCCAGCTACTAGGGAGGCAGAGGCAGGAGAATCACATGAGCCTGAGGTTGAGGTTGCAGTGAGCCATTTTAATACCACTGCACTCAAGACCAGGGAACAGAGTGACACCTTGTCTAAATTAAAAAATAATAATAACAAAAAGTAAAAAACCATCATGATACTGTGATGGTGGAAAGATGACATTAAGCATTTGTCAAAGCCCACAGAATGCACAACACAAAGTGTGAGCCCTGATGTAAATGAGGGACAATAATTAATAACATTGTGCCCATGTTGGTTCATCAGTTTTAACAAACATACTACACTAATGCAAACGCGACTAACAGGGGGTTGGGGGGGAGGGAATGGAAACTGTGCCTTCTGCACAGTTTTTCTATAAACCTATATCTGCTGTAAAATATAAAATCTATTAAGAAAACAAAAGGCTAGGCGCGGTGGCTCACGCCTGTAATCCCAGCACTTTTCAAGGCCAAGGCAGGTGGGTCACCTGAGGTCAGGAGTTCAAGACCAGCCTGGCCAACAATGAGAAACCCCATCTGTACTAAAAATACAAAAATTAGCCAGGCGTGGTGGCAGGCACCTGTAATGCCAGCTACTGAGAGGCTGAGAGAGGGAGAATAGCTTGAGCTCGGGAGGCAGAGGTTGCAGTGACCCAACAGAACGAGATTCTATTTCAAAAAAAAAAAAAACTGGTCCAATATTAAAAAACCAAAGCTGTCAGCATAAAAACCTGGGCTCCCAGTTTCTTTTGATGAATCTGAAGATCTACAACCCTGGGCTGAATTCGCACATGGAAAGAACAGGCTGCAGCTCAGGAGACATAGCTCCTTCCCATGGGTACTCACCCTTAGGTTTCCTGAGCCTTCACTGCTCCTGTCAGGCTTGGTTGGGAGCTTTGGGAAGTTTGGAGACCTGGTGATAAAAGTCAGGTGTCTGATCACGAAGAAACAAACAGGCAAATTTGGCTGAGGGCTTCGGAGTACTATTTCCCAGGTGCTGGAAAATGATGATATCAAATGGGAAATGATGAAGAATGTGAGGAAAATCCGGGAAGTTTTCAGACAAATTGAGTTTGATTTGCACGTATTTGCAGTTAAAAAAAATATGTGATTGCATCTTGGAGGAGATGTTGAAGCTGCAGATAAATTTCAGAGGGAGAGAAAAGTGACTTGCAAAGACCAGGGGATACTTGAGGTCCCACAAAGGAGAGGAACACAGACAGGTGAGCCCAAGGCAAAAAGCCAGGTTCATGGGATGATGTGGTGGAGGTGATAAGCGGTTCACCCAGCATCTTAGTTTCCCGGGCAAATGGCTGCGAGTAGAAGCTGTGGTGGGAGGAGAGGTAGATGAGGCTTAAGGAGACCGGAGGGGGCAGGTGTTTGGGGAGTGGTCAGGAACCAGCCAGGTGAAAGATGGGAAAGCTTGGTAGGCTGCTTGGGTTAATGTAGTCCCTGAGATTACCCTGCCCTGGGGCTGGTAGCAGAAATGAAGAGTGGGCAGGAATATGCTTGATCATTCATTCATTCATTCATTCAGCACACATTTCCTGAATACCTACTCTATGTCCCAAGCTATGGTAGGAAAGATATGGGGATGAAGAAGCAGACACAACAGTTCTGTCCCCTAAGAGATCACATTCTAGTGTAGATCCGCACTAACAATTGCCACAAGGCACATCTAATGGTAAAAGAGTGGTTACTGCAGACTCACTACGCACCTGGCTGCAGCCCCAGGTGGGTGCTTGTTCCCTCTGCCAGAGAAACAAACATTCCTTATAGGTCAGTGCTGTGGCCGCCTGACCTTTAAGAGTGATGCAGCTGCCTGGAGATACGGCGTGCTTACAAAAATAGTGGTTATGCCTCTAGGGGAACGGTGAGGAGGGCATTACGGAGTCAGGGGAGACATCTTAAAGAAAGGAAATTTGGGGCGGGGCATGGTGGCTCACACCTATAATCCCAGCACTTTGGGAGGCTGAGGTGGGTGAATCACCTGAGGTCAGGAGTTTAAGACCAGCCTGGCCAACATGGTGAAACCCTATCTCAACCAAAAATACAAAAATTAGCCAGGCATGGTGTTGGACACCTGTAATCCCAGCTACTTGGGAGGCTGAGGCAGAAGAATCACTTGAAACAGGGAGGCAGAGGTTGTAGTGAGCCAAGATCGGCCCGCTGTACTCCGGACTGGGCAACAGAGCAAGACTCCATTTAAAAAAAAAAAAAGGAATGAAGCTTGGGACAAGTCTTAAAGGGTCCACAGTAGTGCAGCAGCCATGGTGGAAAGCTGAGGGTACAGGGGCATAGGGGAGAGCAGGACAGGGGCATGGAGGTAGGAAGAGGGTGTACGATTCGGGGACCTGCCTGCAGTTCAGCACGGAAGTGGTGCAGGGGGAGTAGCAGGTGGCCAGAATGGAGCCCAGAAAACAGACCAGATGAAGAATCGGTATGAGCTGCATAGAGGCTGCCCACCCCAATTGCGGTGGTAAGGAGAATGCTGAGGAATGAATGTAGACTAACTTCAAATCCTGGCTCCATCATCTACTGTGTGCCCTTGGACAGATTCCTCCGTCTCTGATTTTCTCGTCACTGAAATGAGGATTCTAAAAGTTTCATCGGCTCTGGTGAGGATGAAAAACCATGGTATCTACCGGATGATAAGGACTCAATAAAGGGCTATTATCACCATTGCACTTTAGGCGGTCTCAGGTCTGCATTAATGCTCTTTCCTGTGCCTTCTGCCCTTGGCTTATAAGACTTCTTGTAAACAGACTGTTTCCCCTCCAGCTCTGACCCACCTCCCTGGCTGGAGCCATGGCAAATGGGCGCTCCCTGGGTGAGAATGGCAGGGGGTTGCTATGGTGACCTCCGAGCTTGGCTTAGGACTTGAGTGTACTGAGCCTTTTTTTCTTTCTTTTCTTTTCTTTTTTTTTTTTTAAGCCCTAGCTATCCCAGCTATTCTAAATATTTACTGCGAGGCGATTATTACACACCTGAAAAAGCTGAATAATATTCCCTAGCACTTTGCAGAGAAAAATGGAAAACAATCCACATTTCTGGCAACAAGGAACTGACTGGGTAACTTACGGCACATCCATGCAAAACTGTACCGTGGAGCTGTTAAAAGTGTACAGATCTGTGGTAACTGACAGGAAACGGCATCATGACAAGTTGTTAAATGAAAAACAGCAGGTTACAGAACAGCCCACATCTCGTAATACTGTCCATATAAAATGATGCTACATTTAACTGCTTTGTATTTACGAACAGAAGAAGGTTTAGAAGGCCGTTTGCTGTGGCTCTTTCTATCTAGATGGTAGTGGTGGATCAGCAAATCTAGGGATTTGCTTTTCTCTTTCTACTTTTCTGCAGCAACAGAGTTTGCCCACAATGAACATGTGTATTCTTTTTTCTTTTTCTTTCCTTCTTTTTCTTTTAACCCAATGCTATTAGAAGAAAGTAAATGCGTCCTAACTCCTTGCCAATCTTAAAGGGATTGTGTCAGCCAGCACTTGGGTTGCAAATGCTGGCATTTGCTTGTACACCCACCTGAGAAGGTCACAGGTGAGCCTTACTTTATGTCCCTGCATCCTGCCCGCTGGCCCAGGAGCACCACTGGTCTAGTGGCACCCCATCCAGGGGAGCTGGGGACCAAGTTCTAAAGCGTAACAGCTCATGCATTTGGAAAAGCCACCCCATTTCCCTGGCCAAAGGAGTAGAGAAGGCTCCCTTTCTCACCCCCGTGGGTGAAGGTGGAGGCTGGTGGGAACACCCCCACTGGGAGCACAGCAGAGGCCATCCGTTAGTAGACCTATATCAAGCACTCGCTGTGTGCCAGCCTCTGTGTTATCCCTGGAGACTCATGGAGATCCAGGCAGACTCTTGGCCTAGTGGACAGAGGGCTCCAGGAGGGACTTGTCCAGATCCTCCTCATTGTTCCTGCAAGGTTCTGTGCTCCTTTCCCACGGTCCACACTTTATGTTCCAACAAGAAAATAGTGCAGCCCCCAGCAGTAGGTCCTGGAAAACCCCATTCCTTAGCATATCCTCAAGCCCTCTTCAGTCCCCAGCTTCACTGCTCACCAGCCTTGCCATATGCCCACCCACTTCTCCCCAGGAGGAGGAGCACCAGGAACCCACCCTCACGTGCTCATTGTGCTTGCTGTTTGCACTGGATAAGACATCTCTTCCTCCATCTTCTCTTATTGATAAAATTCCTCCCCTCCTCCTCCTCCTCTCCTTCTCCTTCTCCTTTTCCTTCTCCTTCTCCTTCCTCCTCTTCTTCTCTTCTTCTCTCCTCCTTCTTCTCTCCTTCTTCTCTCCTCCTTCTTCTCTCCTTCTCCTTCTCCTTCTCCTTCTTCCTCTTATTCTTCTGACAGTCTCACTCTGTCACCAAGCCTGGAGTGCAGTGGTGCAAACACAGTTCACTGCAGCCTCAATCTCCTAGGCTGAAATGATCCTCTCACCACAGCCTTCCCCTCCTGAGTAGCTGGGACCATAGGCACACACCACCAAGCCTGGCTAGTTTTTTTTTTTTTTTGAGACTGTGTCTCACTCTGTTGCCCAAGCTGAAGTGCAGTGGTGTGATCTCAGCTCACTGCAACCTCCACCTCCCGGGTTCAAGTGCTTCTCCTGCTTCAGCCTCCCAAGTAGCTGGGATTACAGGTGCCTGCTACTATGCCCCACTAATTTTTGTATTTTTAGTAGAGACAGAGTTTCACCATGTTAGCCATGGTTGGCCATGCTTGTCTCGAACTCCTGACCTCACGTGATCCGCCCACCTTGGCCTCCCAAAGTCCTGGGATTACAGATGTGAGTCACTGCACCTGCCGCTGGCTAGTTTTAATTTTTGTCTTTTTTTTTTTTTTTTTTTAAGAAATGGGGTCTCACTATGTTACCCAGGCTAGTCTTGAACTCCTGGGCTCAAGTGACTCTCCCACCTTGACCTCCCAAAGTGCTGGGATGACAGGCATGAGCCACCAGTCTTCTTGACAAAATTCTCCCCTTTCATATGACTGAACACAAATGTCACTTGCTCTATAATGCTTTCTAGGGCAAAATTAGCTTCCACTCTTCCGGCTTCCACTGCAAGGGTATCTACCATTTTATTTGTAAACTTCAGTTAGATGCCAGTATCCTGGTTTCCACTGGGTCAAGACAGAGTGAGTCTGTCTTGGTCATGGCTGTGCCCAGGTGCCCAGCCCAGGAACACCGTTCAGTGTTCAGTGTTCTGGTTCAGGAAATGAAGGTTTGCTTCTGAACGACTTCCGCTGTCCTCTGCACTCAGCCCTAGAGGCAGGGTCTGGCCTGGTTGACTCGCATCTTCCACCCAGTGGTTTCCATGCTGTGTTCATAAAAACCGCACTTTGGTGCCAAAATTGTATATCTGTTTGGTCCAAATATTTTTTTTTTTTTTGAGACAGAGTTTCACTCTTGTCACCCAGACTGGAGTGCAATGGCACAATCTCCAGTCACTGCAACCTCCACCTCCTGAATTCAACTGATCTCCAGTCTCAGCTTCCCAAGTAGCTGGGATTACAGGTACGCACCACCACACTGAGCTGATTTTTGTATTTTTAGTAGAGACAGGAATTCACCAGGCTGGTCTTGAACTCCTAACCTCAGGTGATCCACCTGCCTCAGCCTCCCAAAGTGCTGGGATTACAGGCATGAGCCACCACGCCCAGCCAAAAGATATTTATTTCAAAAGTTTAAACATCTGAAATCTCAAACAAACTAATTGTAAAACAAAATGTAGGAAAAACTGGGAAAATGTGAACATTAGCTCTTTTATGATAATGAAGAATTATCAATCTTTTTTTTTTTTTTTTTTTTTTGAGATGGAGTTTTGCTCTTGTTACCCAGGCTGGAGTGCAATGGCGCGATCTCAGCTCACAGCAACCTCCGCCTTCTGGGTTCAGGCAATTCTCCTGCCTCAGCCTCCTGAGTAGCTGGGATTACAGGCACGTGCCACCATGCTCAGCTAATTTTTGTATTTTTAGTA